GGGGGGGGGTAATGGACCCCCAGGGCAGGCACGAGGGGGGGTAACGGGCCCCCAGGGGCAGGCACGGGGGGGGGAATGGACCCCCAGGGGCAGGCATGGGGGGCGGCTGGGGGGGACCGGGGCCCCAGGGGCAGGGAGAGGGTGGGTGAGGGGTAAGGGGACCCCCTACTGAAAGGGGGCCAGTATAGGCTGGGGAAGCAGAAAGAGTGGCGGGAGAAATCTGAATTTGGGATGGAGATGTAGAGGGAGAGGGAAGAGCCCCCAGGGCAGAGCCAGGCTTGGGGTGGGCAGCTGGGGGTGTCTCACTGGTCTCTTTCCCTCAGGCCAGTATGGCCAGGTTCCAAGCCATTGAAAGACTCCCCCCATTTTAATACAATAAATAAAAGCCGAGTGTCACTTTCAAAGGCTCTAAACCAGATTGGCCTTTTGCTGTGTGAGGTCAAAGTATGTTTTCTCTCTGGAAGGTGCCAACCTCAGGGTAGAGGGAAGCAATGGCAGGATGGGCTCTGGGATGATGAGTAGGGGAGCAGAAGCAGAGAGCAAGAAGGACCAAGGGGAAAAATGAAGGGATAGCAAAGGGATGGACACACCACTGCTCCCTGGATTATGATGACTAGGACCTAGTCCACACCTGAAACTTAGGTCAGTTAAGGATCGGGGGTAGCCGTGTTAGTCTGTATCCACAAAAACAACAAGGAATCTGGTGGCACCTTAAAGACTACCTTGCTCAGGGGCAAGTTAAGCCCATTGACCTACCTACTGCCTCGCAAGGAGGTGGCTTTACTACAGCTATGGAAAAATCCCTTCTTCACTGTTGCAAGCATCTGCACGACAACTTTGTCACTCTAATACGTGTAGTATGGACATACACTAGCATACTTGGCTAACAATGGGTATTAAGCTCTATTGACCACGTCCACGGTCCACACCTATGGGACAAACATTTTCAATCCAAGTTGAGGGAGGCTAATATGTCTGCTTAATTCCTTTTGTCAATCAGGTTTCATTATTCTAGGACTGGTCTATGCTTAAAAGTTAGGTCAACATAGCTTCACCGGGCAGGGTGTAAAATCCACATCCCTGACCGACGTAGCTATGCCGACCTAACCCCCAGCGTAGACACAACTGTGTCGATCGAAGAATGCTTCCATCAAGGTAGCTTCCATTGTTCAAGGAGGTGGGGTTCCTATGCTAAGGGGTCAAAACAAACTTTTCCATCTGTAGGCTGCATCTACATTATGGGTTATGCCGGGCACAGCTACGGTGATGTAGCTATTCCTGTATAGTCTCAGTAGTGTAGACATACCCTCATGTAGATAAAGTCTGGGGCAACTAGATCTCTGTAAGATTTCCAGGGTCAGCCTGGGACTAGCATTTCCTGCCAGCCATATTACACAGAGAGCAGCATTTCTTCTACTGGGAGAGGCTGGAAGCTTTTAGAAGAGAATGTGGAAATTCCTATAATTGTAGTTAGCATGAATGCAGAGCAGTTACAGGCTGGGTTTTAGATATGACCTGTTTCCCAATAAATTGTTGGTTTCTGGCAGCTAATGTGTGGATGATGGCTTTGTTTTAAAGTCCCTTCCCACCACTCCTGACCCCCAAAAAGGTTCTGCCAGCCACAGCTGTCTTTCTTTTAATGCCATGGTCTTGTTAGCAGGCAGCTTTACTGTGTTTACATATGGCTTTAATTGTATCAGCAGTTAATTCCATTTGTTGCTATTCCCATGTTAACAGGGCCCCTTGTTTAATGAATTTATCTCCTGCTGCAGCAGACATGTCTTTGCTAAGGAGACTGTTGTACCCATGTTCCAAATCAAACTTAAATAACTTGTACATGGCTGTGCAAGAGTCTCAGGGCATCACTGAACTGAATCACTTGAGCTAGTTTCCGCTGTGTTCTCCTGAGCCCATGCTTGTGCTCGCAAAGCATATACTTAACAATCCCAAGGGCACCTCCATTTGACTCAGGACTAACATTTGCTTAATAAAAATGTTAATCGATGGAAAGAAAACATATTTAGAGGCATGCTTAGGACTTTGCTTCTTGGGAGATAAACATTATTATTTTCTTTTTATAGAAAAATATTCTTCTGTGATCGCATTGTATGTTTCCATTCCCACAGTGTTGATTTGAAAAATCCTGCAATGTTTCTAGTAGCCTGTATATTATTCTAAACACACATACAGATAAGGGCTAGTGCGAATAAAAACAAAGGCAGGAAAATTCTGAGTTACAGGGATGCATTATTATTATTTATTTTATTATTTATTATTATTCATTCCAGTGGAATATTTTCTTAAACAACTTCCCTGCAGTGTTTGTAGCCTAAATTTTGAAGCTTTGGCCTAGTGCCAGAATCTGATTGTAAAGTTGACTATAAGACAAAAGTGAAACTAACTAGTTAAGTCTCTCAGTGCATGCGAAGAGAAACAAAAAACAAAAATAGTGCAAAGTGGAAAGAATTTAAATGTAATTAAAACAAATCACATATATATAAGTGAGGGTCAAGTTAGAAATATATAT